AGAAGAGCGTCAAACTCCAACACACAGGCACACAGGTGAAAAGACACAAGGTGAACAAACAGACAGGCAGACGGACAGCACTCACTCCCCGGTCCTCCTCGGAGAGGAAGTCGGGTCCGTCGTCCAACCCTTCCTGCTGCGAAGACAAAGAGCACAGGGTTGTTTGTTTAGTTGCACACCGACCGTAACACAAACGCAAACACAACACAACAGCCGGTGGAACCTCTCGAGCTCACCGAGCAGACAACACAAGAAAAACAGAAGAGACAGAGAAACCTACCATCATGGCTGCAAATGGGTGGAGACAGGAAGTGGAGTGACGTCAGAACAGTCAGGCGTCGTCGGGCGGATTTCATGACTTTAATTCAAAACAAAATACCTGTAAAGAAAACCTACTTTTAAACAAACGAAACTAATATTAGAAAACTTAAATAAAAATAAAAGCTATAAAAATTAAATAAAAAAGGTAGAGCCAGCTTCTTCAGAACACGTTCCCTCACATGTGGAAAGTTCCTTTTTTGGAAGAACTTTGCCTCCAGTTTTGTTCATAATGGTTCTGGACATACTTTCTATGCATAACCAAGTGACGACGGAATTTGGTGGCTTCATAATCATCTCTGCTTTTGCAGATGATGTTGCTGGTGTCATCAGGTGGTGGCCTCCAGCTCACACCAGTGAGTGGCCAAGTGTGAAGTGGTGGGAATGAGAATTAGCACCAGGTCTGAAGGCCATGCCCCTTAGCCCGGAGCATGGAGTGCACACACAGATAAGTTGCTGGAGGAGTTTAAGTATCTGGGATCATGTTCACGAGTAAAGGGAGTAGGAGATTGACAGGCAGACTGGGGCCATGGTTGCAGTGATGCAGATGCTGTGACCTTCTGTAGTGGTGAAGAGAGAGCTAAATGTAAAAGCAAAGCTGTCAGTTTACGAGTCGATCAAAGTCCCCACCCTCACGTAGGATCGTGAGCTTGGGTTGTTGAGATCATTGATACAAGCAGCAGAAATTAGCTTTCACTGAAGGGCGGCTAGTCTCTCCCTTAGTTAGGCAGAGGCCAGGAGTTAAGCTATTTGAGAGGAGCTCATAGTAAAGCTGCTACACCTCAAATCAAATTCCCATTGAAATTGTATTTGTCACATACACAATCAAGCCATACCATAGCCCTGGGACAGACTGGCAACCTGTCCAGGGTGTACCCTGCCTCTCACCCTGAGAGGGCTGGGATAGGCTCCCCCACCCCCCTGACTCTGACAAGGATAGATAAATAACCTAAACATCAAAAGGAGCACACCATTGAAACACATAAAAGTAAGAAAAATGAGATAAAATGAAGATTTTCGCCTTCATTTCTGCCAGACAATGCTGAAACGTTTCTAGCGGCTAGTGTCTGTCTCTGTGTCTTCCCTGTGTTTCTCGTGTCTGCGTGTTTCATGCTGCCTCTCCGTCTCTCCACACAGTAATGTCCCTGTGCTAGTTTCTCCCCTGTTCTCAGTGTTAAGCTCGTGTGTCTTCATCTACGTCTTCGTCGTGCTTCCTGTCTTATTTTGATAGTTCTTGTCCTGCACTCACTGTATTCAGTTTTGCTTCCTCTTTGTCTTGTTATGTCAGAGGATGAGGCTGGGGAACAGCTGTCTTCTCAGCTGTTCCCCAGCCTCATCGTTATCCTGCCTGTATTTAAGTCCTCAGTGTCCCTCTGTTTGGTGTCGTGTTCTCCGTGTTAGTTGTCAGGTCAGGTCTAGTCTGTATATGATTGTAGTTCTAGATCGCCTTTTATTTCTTTAGTGTTCATGTATTTTACTTTTAGCTTGTTTCTCCAGCAATAAAGTTGCTGCTGTACGTTTTCCGTCTCTGAGTCCTACATTTGTGTCCTAGCCTGACACACAGCTGACAATTAGCAAAACAGTGTGAAAGAATTCCAGATCAGACGTTTTTAGTTCAACATACAAGTGAAGATGTTTGACCTTCCATCTGGTTTTATTTAATGCAGTCAGAGAAAATCTCATGTGCTCTTCATGCAGCTGAGTACACTCAGTGTTAAAAGCAGAATCTGTGCAGGTCTGAGATCAGCAGCTTACTGAAACACCAAACTGAATGCATGTTTCTGCTGACATACAGTGACACAGTTACATGGATGATTAATCC